ACCTGAACCCATGGCATATTAGCCAGAGTGTTATGACAGGACCTGCAGCAAGTTTTGGGGTTTCATGAAGCAGCACAGACTCCATTTGCTGTCACAGCCCAACACATACAGGACAGACCAGGCAAAAGTGGGACTGATCATCATCCTTTTAAAAAGCAAGGCTCTAGAATGTGTGTCCAGTCTGCTCCAGCTAGTTCATCCCATATTGCCATGGCATATTAGCCAGAGTGTTATGACAGGACCTGCAGCAAGTTTTGGGGTTTCATGAAGCAGCACAGACTCCATTTGCTGTCACAGCCCAACACATACAGGACAGACCAGGCAAAAGTGGGACTGATCATCATCCTTTTAAAAAGCAAGGCTCTAGAATGTGTGTCCAGTCTGCTCCAGCTAGTTCATCCCATATTGGTTAGCTAGGACAACTTCTAAGGACATTTATGGCAAATTTTCTTTGACCCTCAATGGGCTCACATAAAAGAGACAGTCTTACAGTGACTCTGTTAAACCTCAGGATGAGCTCTAACATATGCAGCTTGTTTCCATTGCCTGGCAACAGACACAGAACAAGTCAGCCCAGCTACACCAATTCTGTCTTGGTCTCAGTGAGGAAATAAAAGATGAGCTTGTGGGTCTAGATGCATTTACTGAGCTTTGATCTGAACCAATACAAGAAACAGTGAGCAGCAACTTGAGAGAAGAGGGATATTGTCTTACATTCAAATCTGCAAAGGTCCTCTCTCCTAAGTCCATACAAGTTGATTCAGCACAATCCCAACTGAGAACACAGATGGCAAGTCCCTGGGACAAATACCAGTCCAAGGAACAATAAAGAGGTTGAGCTTGGGCAATACCAGGAAAGCGCCAGAAAACCCTCTTCAGCAACACTATCAAGCATCCGCTCCATGGGTGGCTGGTGAAGGTAGGGCTGCAGGAGGTCCCACCTCCAGCCTCACTCCTTCTGCTAAGGCCCTGTCCCCCCCACCACAGGGAGGTGGATCAGCACACCATGAGCATGCCCCCCAACCGGAGGGAGGGAAAAGGAGGGGAGCTGGCACGTGACATGGCCCTCCCAGCTCAGGGGAGGGAGGAGGCCGAATGGTCCCAGCCTCCCTTCCCTGAAGCACGGGTGCAGAGGGCAACAACACTACACCCCCAGAACACCTACAGCAGGCATTCTGGGGTGGAGTGTGGGCGGGGCCATGCTTGGTGGTTTGTGAAGGCAAAGCCTTCCCCCCCATCTAGGCTACTGGACTCTCATGATCCCCTCCCCAAAACACTTAGAAGTTGTCCCTATATAGAGCTCCTGTTACAATTCTTACTAAGATTCCTGACAGGTACTTCTCCTTCAGAAGGTCCTGATTATCACCTGCCCCAGAGTAAATTTTACAGTTTCTGTTGTGGCTCAGCTACCCATACAGTCAAAGGCCACAATTGATTTTGTCAAAACAGTCCATGGTTCGCTGTTTGCCTCTGGTCTAGTCAACCAAGAAGCTACAGTTTTGGAAGTGATGGTTGGGGAGCAACACGAGCTCTTCCAATTCAGCCTGACCTGGTCTCTACACAAGGGATGTAAGTGACTAGTGCATTAGTCCCTCGACTAGTTGCTTCCCCCCACTTGCTGCCTCTACATTTAAAAGGCAGAGCTGCAGCAGGGTTAACTCCCCGGGACAGGAGTTAATCCCACAGCGGCTACCCCGCTTATTGACTAACCGACTAGTCGATGGAAAAATCTATGTATAACCAGCACATGCATAGCATTCTAAAAAAATGTTGCCAACATGGGCTCCATGCAAAACTTGAGAAATGCATCTTCAAGCAGTCCACCACTGAATTCTTAGGCTACATTCTGACTGCCAAGAGAGCTTGCATGGATATCAAAAAGGTGGAAGCACTGCGATTGGTTAATGCCATGAAACATTTGAGAAGTTAGATACTTCAATGGATATGCAAATTATTAGAGACATTTTATACATGACTACTTCTGAATCCTGCCCCTTATAATATCTTTGCTCTGGAACCTCGCCAAGTTTGCTTGGAATTAGAAGCCCAAAGAGAATTCAAACATTTGAAGACAGGATTCATGACTATGCCTATCCTCAAACACTGTGGCCCAAGACCGTCACTCAACTTGGAAACTGACTCCTCTAATTTCGCCAGCCAGTGCAGTCACAAACAGGGTCTCAACAAAAAAGTTTCCCTGTGGTCTGCCCTGCCAGACATAATTATTAGATTTCAGATAAGAAGCTACTTGCCATCAAAGCAGCTTTCAAGACCTGTGGGCATTATCTAGAACAATGGCTATCAATCATTCAACTATATCCCTTGCAAGAGTCTGATTTGTCTTGCATATCCCCCAAATTTACCCAAAATTTACCCTCATTTAAAAGCTACTTGCTTACAAAACCAGACATAAAAATACAAAATCATTATTCTGCATGAAATATCAGTTTGTACTGATTATACTAGTGCTTTGCATGTAGCCTCTTGTAAAATTAGGTGAGCTGATGTACCTTCTGGAAGACCTCTGTGTACCCTCAGATATACCCATATCCTTACTTGAGAACTTGGGCTCATGATCCATTTGTAAATGTTTGTGGCCTGTGTCATGATCATGAGCAGGGCTCGCTGAACCACAGCGAGCCCCGCTCGCCAGCAGCTCTGTCCGGCGATCTGCGCATGTGCATGCGCAGATCGCCCGAACCCAGCTCTTCCAGGTTGCAATCTACTCGTCCCAGGTTGCAATCTACTTGTATTATTTCTTGAGCCCTGATCATGAGAGATGGCCAGCAACCTGGAGACTAGGGGGTTAATTATACCTAAGCCAGGTAGCAGTCTGCCAATAAAAATGCAGGTAGGGATTTCAAACTGGGACAAAAGAAATTTTGGGTTTTCCCTCCTTTGTCCCTGGGCAGTTTCTCTCCAGATGCTGAGGGAGATAAGACATGTCTCTCTCTCTCTCTCTCTCCAAGAAAAGACTCTTCACTATCTGTAAATAGGGTAAAGTTTAGATAAATCCGTTAGGTTTTATTGTTTTACGGATTGGGAATAGGAATCTGATGTCTGTGCATTTAAAAATGGGGTTTCCTCTCCTTTGTAACTAAGCTCTTGGTCCATGGAAGGTCTCCCCATGAGTATATTAATTGGAGACTTTTCCTTCTAGTCATTATGCTTGTAACAGGAGTATTGTGGTGATAATAAAAGTTCTCTCTCTTTTTTTATTAACCTGGTATTGGTTAATTTCCGTGTGTCCTGATTTTACTTTAGGGCTGAGATTTCCCAAGTGATCTCTTCCCTGGGTTTATCATCATTACTTGGGTGGTGGCAGCAGATTTTTAACCCCAAAAATCTAGGTTTTTAAGATTTTTGGGGGGAAGCTTTATACCAAAGCCTGGAAAGATAAGGTTTTGGGGTACTTTTACAGACCCCCACTTCTGCATTCATCTTGCCAGAGTGGGGACTGGGCCTTGACAGCCTGTCACAACCCTGTAAATGGCTTGAGAGCACAGACTCTGTGGTTGTTACAGTCAGGTTCCACTCTCAAGTCGGGGGGTGGGGGGAGGCACCATGGGCCCCGCCCAGCACTCACACCACATCAGCAGCTCCTATGATGTGCAGCCTACAGGGCCTGGATCTCTGCGCCAGGTTGCAATGCTACTTTGGTCCAGCCATGGAGAGCAGGATTAAACCTAATTTGTGTGAGTAGAGTTGTGACCTGGGTCGTGGGATTGCACAGCCATTCGCTCAAGTTTGGCCTACCCAGACTGCCATCATTGTGACTCTTGGGACAAATCAGCTATGCTTGGATCTTTTTTCAGGATTTGATTTTACTGTCACCTACTAGGGATCTAAGCAACTAGTCAACTATATGATAAACAAATGCTTATTGGATAGCTGACTCGATTAGTCACTTCTCCCCCCCCCGCCTTTGCTGCCTCTATCAGGTTCCCCCCAGCACCATCTC